CCGCGCAGGCCCTCGACGAGGCCCCCTTGGTATAGTGCGTGCCGTGCCCACCCCTGAGCCGTGCCGCCCCTCCTGCCTCCGCCGGTGCAGGAGGCCGCTGCCTCGCACTCGGGCGTGGCCCTCGGCTCTGGGCCTCCCAGATGGGGTCGGAGTACCCAGACCCCCTCGGGTAATGAAAAAATCACGACGGGAGGTTTTTCATTATTTTTGGCCTCTGGGGGCCCTTACCGGCCCTCGGGAGCGTCAAAAAACGACTCAGGATGAGAAACCGGTCCCGGGGAATGGGTCGAGACTTCTGGGGACCCCGTATTGAAAAAATCACGACGTCGGATCTCTGGGGCTCTGGGCCTCCCAGATGGGGTCGGAGTAGACGGCGTCGGAGGATCGCGCCGCGTCGCCGAGGCATCGCCGATGCGGCTCGATGCAGGGCCCGATCTGCTTCACGCCGACGTCGCCGATGCATCGCCGACGTCGCCGATGCATCGCCAGTGCATCGCCGGTGCATCGCCGAGGTGTCGCCGGTGCGGCGCGATCCTCCGGCCCCAGCTGCTCCGACCCCATCCGGGAGGCCTCTTAGCGGCGAGGCCCGCCGCGAGGCTGGCCGCCGGGCCCGGGGAGGCGCCCCTTCCTGCCGGCGCCCCTGCCCTGCCGGCGAGCCTCTGGGGGGGGGGGGGTCCCTCGCCGCCGCGGCCGGATTCGCCTCGGAATCTCGGTCAGGCTGCGCCCTGGGACAGGTCTGGAGATAGGGGGCCACATGCGAACCCTACCCCTGCCCCCCACGATTTCTGAGGGGGAGGGTGGGGTTCACTCCGCTCGGGAGCTCCCGAACGGAGTGAACCCCACCCTCCCCCTCAGAAATCGTGGGGGGCAGGGGTAGGGTTCGCCTGTGGCCCCCTAGCGGAGAGTGGCGGTAGCGGTGCGGTCGACCCGCAGTACGGATGGGCAGCCTTCCAATTGGGTACCCCTGCATCCTCGCCTCCTCGGTCCATCCTTCGCCACTCTCGTGGGCCGCCGCCCCGCGCGAGAAGCTTCGAATTGGGCGTCCAGGGCCCTTGCATCCTTGTCGTGCCTCCTTACCACTCAGGAGGGACAAAAAACACACAGACACAATGAATCGTCGATTTCCCAGAAGATATAGGAAAATATGGGAAGTGGGGGGAAGACAGAAACCCAGAAAATATGGGAAAAATTTTGGAATCTGGTCACTTGTGTCTATTATTTATTTGTGTGTCCCAGTTCCCCTTCAACCACACGGGCTGACTGTAGCGTTTCGTCGCCCTGCAGCTGGCAGTGGCGGCGCGCAGAGGGGGGTAATGAGGGGGAGGGGAGAAGCCTTCTGAGAAGCACGCTCTCCAGCCGTGGATGTCCTTGCGATTTATCTTGGAATCGCGCTGTCTCGCGAGGCCTCCTCGCGATTCGTGCAAGGCGCACGCTTCAGCGAGCCGCCGTGTTCGACTTGGCCGCCTGGGCCCGCCTTCCCGACCCGCCTGTTAGGGTCTAGCCGCCCGATCTGCCCGTCCGGTTCTGCAACGTGTTTTCTGCTGCTAGCCCCCCTCCTGCTCCTCTCTCTCGTGCTCCCTCCTCCTCCCTCCCCCTCTTGTCCTTTCCTTCCATCCGTCCTCTCTTCCCTTGCCTCAGGGGCCGCGCGAAATACACGTGGCAGGGAAGACGATCGACGACGAAGGGGGCGGGTATCGAGGGCATGGGATACGCGTTGAATGGCACGCGAGCAGATAAGAGCGATCATTTTTTGATTCAAAGATGTTTTTTTCCCCCCCCTCTCTCCCTATTTCGGGTCTATGGACCCCGCCAGAGATGTGTCATCGGCTTCGCTGTGTACTCGGCAAAAGAGAGGTATGGACTTGGAGCCGAAAGTGGACTCACACGCGTCGGGGAACCATACTTCTTGCTTCGCACGGGGCGAGGCCAGCGAGACAGGCAGACGGGCCTGCCACAGGCCAGCCGCCACCCGGCACGGTGCTTTCTGTTGCCGTCGTCCTGCGGCGAGGCCGGGGCGGAGGATCGAGGCACAACGACAGCATACAGTCGGGGCCCTGAAGAAGGAACCATTCTCGTTGGGGAGGGGCTCCGTGCTCCTCGATTGCCTCGCAGTTTGCCTCGGGTTTTCCTTCGGCTTCCGATGGGAGATCGAAGCTCAGCTTGTGGATCTAAGGGGCCCCGTTCCTTATTTAGGGTTCCTTGGGTCAACGCTCCGACGGTGCACAAACAACTTGTCGGAACTCCGCGCCGCCGTCCTGGAGCGGCACTGGGCCCCCCCCTCCCTGGCGCGCGGAGCGCGCCGTGGGCGGCCTCGGAGGCGCCGCCGGGGGGGGGGTCCAGCGCCCATGCAAGAAGCGCGCGCGGAGCTCCGAAAGTGCATGTCTGTGTTTTTTTCTTGCTCTTCGAGAGGGGGGAGGCGGCGGAGGGGAGGGGCGGACGGGGAGGGGAGGCTCGTGCTGCAGACCTGAGCAACATCATCAACTTCAGGGACTCCCTGGAGGACTGCGCAGGGGGGTAGCATCGAGAAGACCTCGGGGGCGACGAGGATACTGTCGGAGGCACCGATTTTTACACTACACAATGAGGTCGCCGCAGGCGCCAGCTGTTCGTCACGGCAATGTGGGTGGGCCGCGGTCAGGTCGCGCGTGGGTCGTGGGTGGGTCGCGGGCGGGTCGCGGGCGAGGACCACGACAAAAACAAACAACGAACAACCAACAAACGAAAAGAGCCCTCGCCGTGGAACCCCTCTTCAGGCATGCACCCAGTGACGGTGTAAGACCGTTCGGCCTTTCATTCTGACCTCTGACCCCTTATTCAGCTGCCTGCGCTGAAACGGCCACCGCGCCTGTGCAATGGTGCAGCAGGAAGGAGACTGAGTGCAGGAACAGCGCAATTCCGACAATTGGTATGAACTGGGACGGATCGTGGACGCGACCTCGTCTTCGTCCACGCGCTTGGGGGGAACTGAGGAGGCGGAGGACGAGGAGGAGGAGGAGGTCCCATGCAAACCCAAGGCGCATCAACGATTTTGCAACGAAACCATTCCTCCAAGTGCTCTCTTCATAGGTCACCCCAAGAGTTCACTTCCACTGCGGGAAGTGGCCCATCGGAAGACCGCCGTCTGATAACCATCGACCGTGCCAGAGCATCGTTCTCGGGACTCCAGCATGGCCAATCCGCTTGACCGCGGAGCCCTGACGGCCCTGCATCGTGCGAGCACACCTTTCCCGGGACTTCGCACCGCGAATCGACGTGATTGCTGCGTCCTTGTGGTCTCAATCCCTGCTAGAACATTACTCCTGGGTCATCACAAATACGAACTCGTGAACATGTTACAGACGTCCAACACGAATGTGAGCGGCGCGAGGGCGAAACTTACACTTTGAAAAGGAACCGTCCTCCATCAGCGAATGTGTGCTGCGCCAAGGCGAGAGCCACATTTCGTAAACCACCCGCCCTCCATCCGCGAAGCTGCTGCAGACTCTTACCACGACGGCGCGCGGCGCCAAAAGGCGAGAGCCACCTTTTGTAAACCACCCGCCCTGCATCCGCGAAGCTGCTGCAGACTCTTGCCACGACGGCGCGCGGTGCCTAGGCGTCAGCCACATTTCGTAAACCACCCGCCCTCCATCCGTGAAGCTGCTGCAGACTCTTACTACGACGGTGCGCGGCGCTAAAAGGCGAGAGCCACATTTTGAATACCACCCGCCCCCCATCCGCGCAGCTGCTGCAAACTCTTACCACGACGGTGCGCGGCGCCAAAAGGCGAGAGCCACATTTTGAAAACCACCCGCCCTCCATCCGCGACGCAGCTGCAGACTCTTACCGCGACGGCGCGCGGCGCCACGGCGAGAGCCAGCCCTCCATCCGTGAAGCTGCTGCAGACTTTTAGCGCGCCTGTGCGCGGCGCCACGGCGAGAAGCCGCTGCGCATTCCAAGCTTCAGGATCAATCGGTGATGCGGAAGTCTTGCGAGCGAAACGCCCGCCCCGCCCTGCCGACCCGGCTGGGGGTGCGGCAGGGAGGAGCGATTGGATATCGACGATGCCTGCCGCGAATCACCGCCGCCCCCTGCCCCTTTGGAAGCGCCTACGCGGCCGACAGCTGGGCTAGAGCCTGGCCAAGCTTTCGGGCCAGTTGTTCCCCGTGTCGGTTTGGGAAGTCTTCGGGGAACGCGTGGGGGAGCAATAGGAGGAGTATCATGAGAGGGAGGAGGACGACGACTAGGAGGATGAATTGAGGATGATGGGGAAGGAGGAGGAGTAGGAGGAGGACATTTCTTGGGAACCGTCTTGCGAGACCTCTTGGGAGGCCTCTGCGGAGCTTCGTGGGAGCCTTTTGGAGGCCTCTTGGGAGCCTCCCTGGGCCTCTTGGGGGCTTCTTGGGGGCCTTTCGGGGCTTCTTGGGGGCCTCTTGGGTCGTCTTGGGGCCTTCCCTACCTGTCTGACACCGTCGGAAGCCGTCTTGGGGGCCTCTCTGAACCGACTTGGGGCTCTTTTGGGGCGCTTCAGGGCCGTCTTGGAGAGTATCTTGGACGTCTTGGAGGTCGCCGTCTTGGGGGCCTCTTGGGCCGTCATGCGGCCATGTTGGAGGCCTCGTGGGCGATCTTGGGGCGATCTTGGGGGCCTCTTGGGCCGTCTTGGGCCGTCGGAGTGCCAAGAAGAAGCTAATGCCAAAGTCCTTTGAAAACCCAAGGATGATCAACGAATTTGGCCTCTTCGGGCCTTCCTGGAGGAACTCTTGGAGGCCTGTTGGGCCGTCTGGGAGGCCTCTTAGGGGCTTCTTGGGCCGTCTTGGGCCATCTTGAGGCCATCTTGGGCCGTCGTGGGTGCATCTTGGGCCGTCTTGGAGGTATCTTGGGGCCATCTTAGCCGTCTTGGAGGCCATCTTGGCCGTCTTGGAGGCCTCTTGGGGCCGTCTTGGGGCCATCTTGGAGGTCTCGTGGGTGATCTTGGAGCGATATTGGGGGCCTCTTGGGCCGTCTTGAGCCGACGGAATGCCGAGAAGAAGCTAATGCCAAAATCCTTCAAAAACCTAAAATCAATAAATTTGGCCTCTTCGGGCCCTCCTGGACGACCTCTTGGAGGCCTCTTGGGCCGTCTTGGGCCGTCTTGGAGGCTTCTTGGGCGTCCTTGAAGGTATCTTGGGCTCTCTTGGGCCGTCTTGGAAGCCATCTTTGACCATCTTAGGCGAACTTGAGGGCCACTTCGGGCCATCTGAGCCGTCTTGGAGGCTATCTTGGGCCATCTTGGAGCGGGACAGGCATTGACATGTGCAGTTTCCGGTCCTTTCCGTGACCCCGGCGGGCTGGGCCGAAGCGCCAGGGGGAGTCTTTGGCGGCTTTTTTGGCCGTCGGAGGCATTTATAGCCCGTCTGACGCCGTCGGAGGCTACTGGGGGAGCCTCGCTGGAGTTTCTTGGGGCGTTTCTAAGCCGTCTCCTGGAAGCCCTATGGCCAAACGTTTGGAGCTAGAGATTCACGAAGCTATCAGACCAGGTGAACGCTTGGAGGAGCATGACGCGGAGGATCAGGAGAGGGAGGAGCAGCAGGAGGAGGAGGCGTTTTGGGAGCCTCTTGAGGCACTCTTCGGGCCTCTTGGAGGCCTCTTGGGGGCTTCCTTGAGCCTCTTGGGAGCTCTTGGGGGCTTCTTGAGGGCTTCTTGGGGGTCTCTTTGACCGTCTTAGGCCGTTCCTGGCCAGTCTGACGCCGTCGGAAGCCGTCTTGGGAGCTTTTCTGAACCGACTTGGGGCCCTCTTGGGGCGCTTCAGGACCGTCTTGGAGGCCATCTTGGGCGTTTTGGAAGCCTCTTGGGCCATCTTGGGGCATTCTTGGAGCCGTCTTGGGGGCGTCTTGGCCGTCAGGGGGACATCTTGGTACCTCTTGGGCGATCTTGGGGCGATCTTGGGGTCCTCTTGGGCCGTCTTGGATCGTCGGAAGGCCGAAAAGAAGCAAATGCGAAAATCTTTCAAACACCAAAGGAAAATCATTGATTTTGGCTTCTTCGGGCCTTCCTGGAGGACGTCTTGGAGGCATCTTTGACTGTCTTGGAGGCATCTTGGGCGCCTCTTGGGCCACCTTCGGCTCTCTTGGGGATATTTCTGCCGTCTTGGATGCCATCTTGGTCGTCTTGGAGGTCATCTTGGCAGTCTTGAGGTATCTTGCAGACCATCTTGGCCGTTTTTGAGACCTCTTGGGCCGTCTCGGGGCCCTCTTGGGGCTGGCTTGAAGGCCTCTTGGGCTGTTCTGGAGCCGTCCGGGAGGCCTCTGGGACTAGTTTGGTGACTCCTTGGGCCGTCTTAGGCGGTCGGAACACAAAAACCGAGGGAAACATTGATTTTGACCTCTTCGGGCTCTCGTGGAGGACCTCTTGGAGGCCTCTTGGGCCGTCTTGGAGGCCTCTTGGAGACCTCTAGGGCCGTCTTGGGCCGTCTGAGAGGTTTCTTGTGCGAACTTGGAGGCATCTTGGACTTCGTGGGCCGTCTTGGAGGCCATTTTGGACCATCTTGGGCGGACCTGGAGGCCATCTTGGGCCGTCTTGGCCATCTTGGAAGCCATCTTGGAGCCATCTGGAGCAGGAACAACTTTTGGAACCGCCCTTTCCGGACCATTCTGGGACCCCGGCGGGCAGGGCCGAAACCCCAGGGGGAGTTCTTTTGGAAAAGGAGCCAAAACCAAAAGCGAAAGGATTCAGCACGCCGGGCACCCCTGTGATGAATCAACAGGGGGCGGCGGATCTATTTGACGGGCTGCGGCCCATCCCGCCACCGTGCCTTGGTTGTTTGTGTGAAGCCTCGTGGGGTGCTCGTTGGGATCTCGTTTGGAGGCCTCTCTGGAAGCAGTTTCGAGGCCTCTTGGGGGCCGTTCTGAGGCCTCTTTGGGGCCCCCTCCTCCTCCTCCTCCTCCTCCTCCTCCTCCTGCTCCTCCCTCCTCCGTCCTCCTCCCCGTTCGCTCTCCCTTCTCTTTATCCCCCCTCCTTTCTTCTCCGCCCCCTTCCCCTCATTCCCCCGCCTCTTTTTCTCTCTTCCTGTTTTGTTTGCCGTGATTGGACCATGGATTGCGCATGGATCACAACAACATGCAGCAACAAGGATAATAAGCAAAGAGAGAGAGCACAACAGAAGAGAGAAAGAGAGAGGGAGGTAGACCACCAGACAGGCACAGAAAGGAGAGAGAGAGAGAGAGAGAGAGATAGAGACGACTGTATGTTCGTTGGCAATCTGAAGCTTAATTCGGGGCCCCGACCCTTCCACCTCCTTCCCACTCCCCCCTTTGTCTTCCCTCTTCCCCAGATCTCCGACGGCGTGATTCTGTACAACCGTGGAACTAAAGAGGTCCAGACCCCTTACCCGGGACTAGCTTTTCATCCCGAACCGTTTTTTCCCAACCATCCTGTGGTGTTGGGTCCTCGTTTTGAAGAAGCGGTCCCCGCGTTCTCCCCTCCTCCTCTGCCCCCTCCTCCCTCCTCCCCCTCCGCGTCAGTCACGCCCACTTCGGCACACCC